AAGCAAAGCTGAGATGCAGAACAGGCACTGTGATGTGGGCCAGCTCAGCCACCGCACCATGATGCCTGCCTCTCAAGCTGACATTTCCTATCGCTATCCATGTGTGAACTTTAATGTGGTTTCAAGTGTCTGTTTCTGTTTTAATGCAGCTAAGATCATAGTATTTGTTAGTTTTCTGTTGCTTTAAGAAAAATAGCAGGCTGAGTACTTTATAAGGGCTTATATAGCCCACAGTTTGGAGGTTGAAAGTCCAAGATTAGGTGGTCCCATCTGTGTTGGGCAGTCTTTTCTGGCCTATGGTCAGGTACCCTGGCTGCATCACAACTTGGTGGGAGAGAAAGGAAGAGAACTAAGTACAGAGGTGGTCTCATGCAAGAGATAGAAAGCCAGAGAGATTCTGGGGCAAGCCTTGCTCTTTTTGAAACAACTCTGGGGAACTAACCTAGGGTCATTTCTGATTGTGGCACCCACAGTGATCTAACTGATCCGACCACCTGTCACTAGACCCTGCCTCTGAAAGGTTCCACCACCTCTTACCACTGCCACACGGGAGCTAGGCCTGCAGCAGAGGAACCGTGCCGGAACACACCCCGACACCCCCCAGATCGTGGAAGTGTGCGTATTACAGCTCGCTTCACTCCCCACAGCGTACGGTGTGTCTTGCTCATCTTTAGTGTGTAACAGCTTTCCTCTGAAAGGGTAGCCGGAGTCTGCGCCATCATCCTCCAGCACAGAAGCAAGGCCTGTGGGACCCTGTTTGTATCCCACGAGGCCAGGGCAGGCCGTGCCCACTCTCACTCGTCTTGTCCTTCTCTGCCTTCTCCTTACAGTGTTTCAGCTTCAGCTGCATGGCCACCTTTCATCTCCCAGCGCATACGAAGCGCCTTCCTGATACGTGGCTTTGTGCGTGTGCTTCCTCTGTTCCTCAGTCCTCTTCCCTTGGTCTTCCTCTGGCGGCATGCTGCTTTATCCCAACTTTAACTTCGGCTTCAGAAAGCCTGCATGTGTGCAGGCAGTCTAAAACAGGGTTTCCTTTTTATTCTCTGCCATAGTGCTCCATGTCATATTTATTTCAAGTACCATTTGATTTGTTTACTCAGTTTTATTTCTCTCACCATGCTCAAATAAGCTCCATGAGGCAGAGACTGTATTTTGTACAGTATTGTTTTGGGTGAATATTTATTGAATTGATGTATAAAATATAAATGGGTGAATGGGAACATATGGCTTAACCTCGTTCTTTGTAAAGACTATGTAATATTCTACTTTACAGATGTACCATTTGTGGTGCCATTTCCTTATTAGAGGCCTATTAGATTTACAGAGTTTTTTTTCTGCTTAAAACACCACCAACAATTTGTAAATAATTTTTTAGTTGTATCTCTTTGTGTGTGCATGCTACTGACAATGTCTTTTAAAAAGGATCACACTAGGGGCCAGCACTGTGGTGTAGCCTGTAAAGCCACCACCTGTAGTGGGCCGGCGCTGTGGTGTAGCCAGTAAAGCCACCACTTGTAGTGCCGGTATCCCATGTGGGCGCCAGTTCATGTCCTGGCTGCTCCACTTCCAATCCAACTCTCTTTTATGGCTGGGGAAAGCAGTGGAGGATGGCCCAAGTCCTTGGGCTCCTGCACCCATGTGGGAAACCCGGAAGAAGCTCCTGGCTCCTGGCTTCAGATCAGCACAGCTCTGGCCATTGCAGTCATCTGGGGAGTGAACCAACGTCTGTCTGTCTCTGTCTCTGTCTCTGTCTCTCTTTCTCTCTCTCTCTGCCTCTTTAATAAATAAATAAAGCTTCAAAAAAAAAAAAAAACCACACACTATTTCTTAGGACATTAGAAGTGCTTGTTTACGTTCAAGTCATGGCTCTTGGCCTTTGTGAAACTTCAGTTTCCTAGGTGAAAATGAATGTCATTGTTTTAATTTGCATTCTTGTAATCACTACTAAGCTTAAGCATATTTTATGTATTAGTCTTTTGGATTTCTTTTCATGTGAACTTCTTTTTTAAACATTTACCCTTTTTCTTAATGACTGTCTTTTTTTAGTGCTTTCGGTTTTACTGAAATTTTTTTCCTAACTAATAATCTTATAAAGAAGTGTTAAAATGTGATATTATCAGTGCAGTGGAATTTTAAGATATATAGGCTTTTTATCTCTCCAGAAGTAATTTTTTTAAAGATTTATTTATTTATTTGAAAGAGTTACACAGAGAGAGAAGGGGAGAGAGAGAGAGAGAGCGAGAGCGCCTTCGAGAGAGAGGTTCTCCATCTGCTGATTGACTCCGCAGTTGGCTGCAACAGCCAGAGCTGCACGGATCCAAAGCCAGGAGCCAGGAGTTTCATCTAGGTCTCCCACATGAGTGCAGGGGCCCAAGGACTTGGGCTATCTTCTGCTGCTTTCGTAGGCCAAAGCAGAGAGCTGGATCAGATTTGGAGCAGCTGGGACTTGAACTAGTGCCCATATGGGATGCCAGCACTGCAGGTAACAGCTTTACCTGCTATACCACAGCACCGGCTCCCAGAAAGTAAATTTTTTTTTTTGACAGGCAGAGTTAGACAGAGAGAGAGAGACAGAAAAGTCTTCCTTCCGTTGGTTCACCCCCCAAATGGCCGCTACGGCTGGCGTGCTGCGCTGATCCGAAGCCAGGAGCCAGGTGCTTCCTCCCTGTCTCCTATGCTGGTGCAGGGCCCAAGCACTTGGGCCTTCCTCCACTACCTTCCCAGGCAACAGCAGAGAGCTGGACTGGAAGAGGAGCAACCGGGACTAGAACCCGGGGTGCCGCAGGCGGAGGATTAGCCTAGTGAGCTGCGTCGCCGGCCCCAGAAAGTAATTTTATATAACCCAACAGTAGAAATAAATGTATAGAAAGACCATATTGAAGCTGAGTATATTTAGTACATTATCATTGATACTGACAATAATGTTTTTAATGTCTAGTGCATAATAAGTCCTAATAATTATTTTTGGATAAGTGAGAAGTAAAAAGTTAATTTTTAAAACAATTTGCTTTATGTGAAAGTTCATTTAGTCGTATTTGATTTACATAGTAAGAAAACGTAAGCATACCGATTGGTAAAAAGATAGGCTTGTTTGTGGCAGTTTATAGAAGTGTTGGATTTGTGGTAAAGCATACCTACAAGTTTTGCTGTGTTTCAATATATATCTTTATATATACACACATCTGTAGCATGTGCATATAAATAAGTAAAGAAACATGACTAAGGAATTGTATGAATTGGCCTTTGAAACTTGCCTGTTAGAATAAGCATTTAGGTAACAGTTTATTCTGTCTCAGAATGAATATCTCAGAATGAATATGCTGTTACACATTTGAAAGAAGAGAATGCTTTCAAAGTTCCCTTCTGGACTTAGAATCACCCAGTCTTGGGCAGCCATCACTCTTCCTGTATTTTCTTGGAGAGGCACTAATTGTTGGCATTTGGCAGGTTTAACACTTCCTGACAGAGAGGCTATTAGGGGGAAGTATTCTCCAATAACTGTCACTGGCTGGGACAAAGAACTTTCCAACCCAATGTGTGGAAACCACTAACATTCTTAAATGTCCCCTTTCATGGATTTTTATCCCTTTAAGCTGAAATTTGGAGAATGCAGAGTCAGTGAAAACAGTGAGGTGTAATAAAACAGTAAACTGTTTTTTGGGGGGTGTAGGGTGGGAGGTACAGATTTATCTCTTACTTGAAAACAATTGTTATTTGGAAAATCTCATTAGCACATGTGACTGCTTGGAGTAAAAAAAAAAAAAGACTTAAAACTGATGTCGCTTTCAGGACTGCTTTGAACTTAACAAGCACCTATTTGTGGAGCAGACTGGCTAATGAAAGGAAATTAAATTTTTCTGACAACTTCCCCTGCCAACCTCCTTATTCATGGGATGTTATTAGGTACTGAAGACTTTTCAGGAAGATTTTTTTTATTAGACATAAATGAACCAGTTATAAACATCTCTGCAACTCCCCCAATTGTGGGAGGATTTTGACATGGTTGTTCTATATTTTAAATGTATTGTCTTAAACACTTAAAAAATACCAGGTTTCAGGTCAGTGTGTTTATTGAGTCACTTGTTTTCTAACAATTTGGACATACTCTCCAGCTAATGGTTTCAAAGCAGATTTGTGAGTCCTTGTGGTAGTTTAGTTGGTGTCATTGAATTATGAAAAATAAACTTTGAAGGAGGCTTGGATTTCAACACTGTTGTATTGTTACATGGGGAAATGTGTCTGGAGTGTTCTGTGTTGGGGGTGTTAGGTGAGAGCCAATGAGAGTCAAGGACAGTTTTTTGTCTTTTCACCTACTTAACGTTGTCTTGGTTGATATTTAGCAGTACTTAATTCTTATATTGATTAACTCTTATATGTACAGGAATTTTCTTTCCTTGGCTTTTTGTAATTTTTTACTCTTACATAAAAAGTTTTAGTTTATGTAAGAAGTTAAAATATACCCCCCCCCAAAGAAATAAAAGCTGAGAATATCAATGGGATTTTTTAAAAAACTGATAATTCTTATAGATTCTTGAAATTTTTATTTCTGGAAAATCAATCGAACTCCTCCCAAACAATAGTGAATCAACTCCCCCTGCTGACAGAATCTAGGAAAACACAATACATAAATATCAGAGAAAGAAATGAGCTGGCCGCCGACAAGCTTTAATGATCTGATTTAGGATTCGGTATTGATTGTAAACATCCAAATTCTGCCATTAAACTCCAGCAACTGCACCAAATCATTGGCAGTTCTGGTAGTGCTTCCTGCCAGCCCATTTCAAACTGCTTTGAGTTTCTTAATATAATAATGATGAGGTAGAATTTACATTCCACTTATGGTATTAATTTTACATTTCTCTGAATGAAAAGGGTTAGAAGGTTGTAAAATTGAACATTAAATGAATCAGAGGAGACAGTAGTGCAATATATGACTGCCCTAAAGACATTGTGCAATGCCTCATGGGATTAATGTTGGGTCTCATTTCCTGCTTTTACAGGATGCAGATGAAGCTGTCAGAATTGCAAGGGAAATTGGTAAGTTCTTAAATTAACTTTGGTAGGGTCTCTGTGTCTTTCAGCAGATACGGTTGAGTAAACGTGTAATAAGTAATTCCCATAGAGCAAATAATATTTTAATAGTTTTAGGTTTCTGATTACTTGTTGATCTAGAAGATTTATCAGTTGAATTACCATATTCTGTTATTAAAGTGGACCTTAAAGAGAAATTTGACCTCTAGCTTTTTTGGAAGATGAAGTAACTGGCTAATTCAAAGAAGGAATTATCTTAAGCATTCTTAAGTTTGGAAACAATGTAAATTTTTATGTAGGTAGTTGAATGGGGCTTATGTACATAAATGATGCATATAATTAAAATGAAGATACCACATTTGATAAAATTCTTCAAGTTTGAGCTTTTTCTTAAGATGTTAATTATCAATTCAGTAATCCTGTTAGGAGAGAGAAAATAGAAAAGAGAAGATTAGAATGGAATATTCTAAATTGGAGTGAAAGGTAAATTGAAGGACATTTTAATGAGTGTTGTACTTGACTGATTTAAGTATAATTGTATTATGTAAGTGTTTTCCAACTGTTTAATTTAAAAAAATATTCCTGGTGCCTGTGAGAATTACTGTATTTCCTGTGTCTACTAGTTAACATGTTTAAGGGTATACTCTTATCATGTATTAGCAATGCTGTCAAAAACTTTACAGTTGTATTAGTCAGTCAGTGTTTGTATTCATTTGGCAGAAATTTGTAGATAGGTGAGAGAAATTAGGATATGCTTAGTAATCAGAGATTCACAACATTTTACAGCATTCTTAGGCTTCTAGGTCCCAGTTTTTTAGCATCCCACACAAAGTAGTCCTATTTCCTTATTAAGGTTGATTATTTCCACATTTGGAGAATGTTTCGTTTGGCAAAGTTCATGTAGTTGATAGTTATAGAAATATCTTACTGGTCTCAATGTGATCACTTGCAGTAGTGAGTGTAGTCTTTGTGAATGGGACAGGCTACTTAGCAGTTCTCAGTGATCTGAAAAGTCAGTTGACATTTCTCTTTCTAATTGGGTCTGGCTAAATTATTTTGATTTTGTTCATTATGAATTGTGTTCTATTGGTTGTTTATTTGTTTTGCAAAAACGTCCTGAGTTTATGTCCAGACCATAGAAAAATCTTACTTTATCTGATTGCAACATGTCTTCATTAATCATTTCATTAGAATTGTTAACAGTTTCAGAAAAAATTTCAGTATATAACTACACAGGAAGATTGCTAAATAAATTTGACCACATGGAACTGATTTTATGGTCTCTTTATTGAGAAAGTAAAAAATTTCTATCTGTCGTTTGAAATCATTAGCATTCTTCATTGCTTCAGAGATACATAACATGTCTGCTGCCTTTTAAGGAGACTTTTCTAAAATATTTATCAAATTCTTTAAAAAGTCCTCTTCCTAGTTCTAGTTTAGCTATGACTATCTACCTTGTAAAACATAGTAATGCTATTATCCTAAAAGCATCTATATGCAAAGACAATATTGCGAGGAATTTAGAGATATAAAAAGAGATTTAAAAAGTCTGGAATTATGTCACTGTGCCTCATGTTAAATTATGAACCTTCGGCATTTCCTTTGTGGAAGTGGCAGACTGTGGATTGCTTTGCTTGCTCTCCTGCCTTCTGCTGCTTTTTATAACCTGTGACTCTAAGACACCAGTTGATCACGAAGGGCCTCAGTCTGAGCAGTTGATACCACTTTGTTTTCCCTCTCCACATTTTATTTCTTTACTTTTCCTTCTTTTCAGGTATTCTGCTACTGTGGTTTTCTCGTCTTGTCAAAATCTCTCCTTTATTCTTAGGCACATAATTTATGATTCCTTCCTCTTTTCTGTCTCTGTTATATTTTCCCACTTATTATTCCCTCTCATTTGAGCAATAAATGACTGCAGTCTGTTAAGTATAAGAGTGCCCATGGCTTGCTAATACTGAAAGAAGGGATTCCATAAAATTTGAGGTGAAATAAAACGTAGTAATGAACCAGGGTCATCAGCGTTTGTAAAGCTTTTGAAATTTCCTGAGAAGCCCGTCTCAGTCACCGCAGAAACTCCCAACTTACACTGACTTATGTATTATCAAGACCTTTCAGTTGTCTGTGTTGTTTGGTGATTCGATTATTTTTTCTATTTTTATTGGAATTCATCACTTTTTAACTATGTTATGATTTTCGTGGGCCTTTGTGAGTTCCTGTAGGAGGTGAACTGAACACTGAATCCGTTAGAAAATAGATCCCCAGTTCTAAACTAAATTAGAATCAAACCTTTGTGGCTGTCAGCTTGTAAGTTGCTGTTGTCTGTGTGTCATACCTATGTCTAGATTTTTTTCTTGTACTTCTTTGTTCCTGATGAAAATAAGGTTGATACGGTTTTGTTTATTTTCTCCTTCCTTCATGTCTACTTTTCTTCTGGAAACAGGAATATAAGCTGTCAGAGTAGGTAACCAACTGTCCTGAGTGGTGATGAATTAGGTGCCCTTCACATAATGGCAGCCCCTAGCTCTTGTTCATGGTTTGTTTCCCATGTGCCTGGCTCTTCGGAAATGTTATTTCTAATGCTAATTGCTGGGTTTAATTATTTTCATTTACATTTATAGGAAATGAAGGAGTAGAAGTGATAATGTAATTTGCTCAGAGTCACAGAGCTACTGATTTAAATTCAGATTTCTTTGCTCCAGCAACCACAGATTTTCTCATACTTGGGCTAAACTGATGGAATTATGGGATGAGAACTGAAATTTGATTCACCAATTTGTGTAAAAATAATATAAAATACTTAAGCATGTTGTAAGCGGAGTAGAAAAATCAGGCAGCTTATTATCACTGATGGGGTGAAAGGCAGTTAAAACTTAATGTGTTACTTCTGTATGTTTGTTTTTTGGACTATCATGTGTCCTTCCTGAATTTTATCCTTTGACCTCTAAATTTAGAGATACAGGTCTGTTGATCCCAGCTTATCTGTAATCTCAGTAGTAATCAGTGAGTGAGATTTCCATTTAAATTTGATCTTTTTGCTAGACCAAAGGTCCTTAATACAATCAAGTCAAAATTGATTCTGGAAAGGGCGAGAAACTAAATCTAAAAACTGTCTTTTTCAGATTAGTCTGATTCTATTCCTTTGCCTCTCCTTCTTGTGATCACAAATCATGCCACTTTAAATGTTGAAAAAAGTTTTTTTGACTCTTTAATTCATTGTCCTATAAACCTGCTTCTACCCCAGTTTCTCTTCTTGTCTTTCCAGTTTCTTTTCTTGTCTTTTTTTTTTTTTTTTTTTTGACAGATAGATAGTGAGAGAGACAGAGAGAAAGGTCTTCCTTCCGTTGGTTCACCCCCCAAATGGCCACTATGGCTGGACCTATGCCAATCTGAAGCCAGGAATCAACGCGGGTGCAGGAGCCCAAGCACTTGGGCCATCCTCCACTGCCTTCCCGGGCCACAGCGGAGAGCTGGACTGGAAGAGGAGCAGCTGGGACTAGAACCTGGTGCCCATATGGGATGCGGGCACCACAGGCAGAGGATTAACCTAGTGAGCCATGGTGCCGGCCCTCCCTCCCTCTTTTTTTTTTTTTTTTTTTTTGACAGGCAGAGTGGACAGTGAGAGAGAGAGACAGAGAGAGAAAGGTCTTCCTTTGCCGTTGGTTCACCCTCCAATGGCCGCCGCTGCAGCCGGCGCACCGCGCTGATCCTGGCAGGAGCCAGGAGCCAGGTGCTTTTCCTGGTCTCCCATGGGGTGCAGGGCCCAAGCACCTGGGCCATCCTCCACTGCACTCCCTGGCCATAGCAGAGAGCTGGCCTGGAAGAGGGGCAACCGGGACAGAATCCGGCGCCCCAACCGGGACTAGAACCCGGTGTGCCGGCGCCGCAAGGTGGAGGATTAGCCTATTGAGCCACGGCGCCGGCTCTTTTTTTTTTTTTTTAAGATTTATCTGAGAGGCAGAGAAGGAGGGAGGGAGGGAAGGAGGTAGAGAGAGGGAGAAGGAGAGGAAGAGGGAGAGGGAGAGAGAGAGAGGTCTTTCCTCTGCTGGTTTACTTCCCAAAGGGCTGGAGTTGGGCTGTAACCAAAGTCAGGGGCCAGGAGCTTCTTCTTGGTCTCCCATGGGTGTGCAGTTACCACAGGACTTGGGCCATCTTCTGTTGCTTTCTCAGGACATTAGCAGGGAGCTAGGTCAGAAGTGGAGCAACCGGGACACGAACCCCTTCTCAGTCACTACAGAAACTCCCAGAGTGGAGCAGCTGGGACACGACCACATACCCAGGTGGGATGCTGGTGCCACAGACACAGGTTTAACCCACTATGCCATAGAACTGGCCCTCTCCCCCAGTTTCTATGTCTGCTGCGTGCTGCCCCATTCACTCAGGCCATAACCTAGGACCTATCCTGTCTCGTCATCCTGTTGGGAACCCCTCAGTGTACTGCCAGTTCTCCATGCTAAACGTATCACATGCTCACTGCTCACCGTCTTCACCACCACCACTCTGCTGCATGCTACCACTGGCTCTTCCAGTGACTGCTGTGACAGTGTTTCTAGCTCTTTTTTTTTTTTTTTTTTTACAGGCAGAGTGGACAGTGAGAGAGAGAGACAGAGAGAAAGGTCTTCCTTTTGCCGTTGGTTCACCCTCCAATGGCCGCCGCGGCTGGCGTGCTGTGGCCGGCGCACCGCGCTGATCCGATGGCAGGAGCCAGGAGCCAGGTGCTTTTCCTGGTCTCCCATGGGGTGCAGGGCCCAAGCACCTGGGCCATCCTCCACTGCACTCCCTGGCCACAGCAGAGGGCTGGCCTGGAAGAGGGGCAACCGGGACAGAATCCGGCGCCCCGACCAGGACTAGAACCCGGTGTGCCGGCGCCGCTAGGCGGAGGATTAGCCTAGTGAGCCGCGGCGCCGGCCTCTAGCTCTTTTTTTCACACAGTTCAAAGCCAATCTTGACATGGCAGACAGTCAATATTTTAAAGCTTCTCAAAGACAAGGACAAACATTTCATCCTAC